GTTCAAGCATTACAGCAGCGACACACTTTTGTACCATATTCCATTAGAAGCCTCTCACGCCCAACTCCCCCCGACCCCACTGGCACCTCACCGCGTCCCCCCACGGGGACCCGCCCCACATTTTGAAAAGTACTGCGTTGTGATCTAATAATTAAAACTGAGTCTCTAAAGTGTCATTTTGTTTTTTGTTTTTTAAATGGAGTATACCTTTTACTGACTGTGCAAATATTCTGAACACATTGTACTTTGATGGGTTTTTACAGTATGTTACCTGCCATGGAGGACACGTTGATGATGGTACCACCTTGCTTGCCATGCTCTTTGCTCATGTGCTCCAGTGCCAGATAGGTGCCCTTGATGACAGACGTCTGTGAAGGAAAAAAAAAAACAACAAACAAATGCAGTTAAGTGACCTGCTCAGCTGTGGCCGCAAAGTTCTCTGTGAGCAGGAAGTGAAACTAAATGCAAAGAACGAGTTCATGTATTTATAGAGACGTGTCTGAAGAGATGGTGACAAGTTACTGCACAACAGCTTCCCCAGCCTTTTGGGGGGATATTGAGTGGAAGTAGTTGGAGAAGTAGCTGCGTGCTGTGCCCCAGTTTGAGGCATTAACTCACATTTTCAGCAAAAACAACCGGTTAAAAAAAAAAAAAACTAGGAGATTGCAGATGCAGATTGTACTACGTGTGACTCTGAAAATAGTGACTTGTTGGGGTCTTGAGAATAAGAATCTTAAGCTAAATCTTTTTTGTGCCACAGAAAAATAAAAAACTAAAAACATGTCAGAAGAGTATACTGATATTAAAAGCAAATATAAAGTACACCAACCACCAAAGGAGAAGTCAAAATCTGCCACGTCTGACCACTACAAAAGACGGAATAACACCATGGACTGGGACAAAGCCAAAGAAACGGTTTGTACAAAGGGCTGATAAGGGAACTTCACAGTAAGACTACAAATCACTGATCACGTGATCATGTGACACTTCCAAGTAAGATGGACGCCCACCACGGAAACATGTCAAACTACACCTGCAATGTCCGATTATAGGAAAAAAAAAGTATAGTAAATAGTAAAAGTAAAAGTCATACATATTATGCAGAAAAGGCTTTGCAGTTAAGAATCACCTGTGGCCATATACTTTATTTTGAGAATGACAAAAAGTGCAAATGTATTTTATTTTGAAAGCCTAAAAGACCTCCAAACACCAAACGACTCCCCAAAGACTTTTATTTTGAAAAGCTTGGCATGTGTTTAGATTTATTTATAACTGAGGGAGAGTCTTTTTTTTTTACATAAAAAATAAAGTAAATAAAATTAATTTTTGCAGCCCAGTAACAATAGACCAACGGCCCAGTACTGGTCAGGGAGCAGGAGGTTTGGGGTATTAGCTTTAGCCCCTATCTTGAAACACATAATTATGTAGTTGGTTTCCTCCAGGAGGTTAAACTTCCTGGTTCCCAACATGTGGACTGAATCTGAACTCCTGATATTTGGAGTCCAATTTAATATATATATATTTTAATGCACAGTCAGAAAAAAAAAAAAGTAAGAAAAAAAAGTTGCTTCTTGACTGAACCTGCCGCTCCTTCACCACCTCTGTCTGAAGCTGTCAAACTCAAAGAACCTCTCCAGGCCAAATACAGGAGAGCTTAATCTCTGCTAAAAATAGTAGAGTTTTCTTTTGAGGTAACAAATCTATTCATTACCTTTTAAAGAAGCTTGACACGACTTTGTGTGAGGGCCGTACAATTATAACCTTATTTCTTCAAACTCTGACACATGTTGTTCATCAAGATAATCTATTAAAATATAAAAGATAAAAAGATCACACAATGTACTTTTCAGCTGCACATTTCCACATTTGCATATTTGCATATCTTGCTTTCAGAGGTCACACCTTGGTTAGCATCCAACCAACAGACCAGGTGTGTTTGAGGTCAATATAAATATTAGAACAAAAACAATATATGGTCAAGTCAAGTCATGTACATATATATAAATATAAATATATGTAATAATGTTTATTATTATTATTATTATACCAGTGGCACATTATTATTATACCAGCCAAGTTA